GTGGAAACATAAAAAAAACCAAACCAACGCACTCGGCTCGTCATCGCAGTCAACAAAGCGTAGTTCCCCTATGCATTTCCTCCTCCCCCCCCCCCCCCCCCGACGACGGAGTGTGCTGTCACCTAGAGGCTATCGACAGCAGCGCGGCTAAGTGGAGTGCGGCGGCCCGTGCTACATTTGTCACGGTTCGCACGTAATGTGGGGCTCTGACAGACCGGTTCTGTCGGCCGTGGGGTTTTTTGTGTTCCCCCCGAAGACCTCAGAGACTGCCCGTCGGTGTCTCTCTCGTTGTCTGCGCTCCAGAACAGCAGCGGGGCCCAGAACACTGCGGACCCGCCGACGGCTGTCGACGCACTTTTCACAGACAACAGCGCACCGATATAACCATCTTGATTTGAAGCTTTCGTGACTGCAGGAATCCATACTCTTTGGTTCTGTCACGTGGGTATAAAATAAAATAAATCACGACGTTTCGGGCGCAACACAAGCGTCTGTCATCAGGTGGGATATTTTATGACTTTACCGAAAGAACCAAAGAGTATAGTAAATATAACCACGTGGTGGATGGGTTTTGCGAGTTCAAATGTAACTGCAAAAGTTCCCGATGACCACTTTGCCATGGCCTTGCAGTACCTCCAATGATCCACAGGCCATAGGTTGAGGACCACTCGTCGAGAGATCCCATCTCCAACAGCGGTTTGTCCATCATTGACAAGATTCCCCATTAGACACTGGTCTGTCTGTCTGTCATTGACTAGAGACCCCCCACCAAAGACTGGTTTCTGTCAAATCGATCATTGCCTAGGGACACCAAGTGAGACTGCTCTGTCAGTCTGTTGCCTATCGTCTCCGTCTCAGTAATGGGAAGAATACAAATGACATACAATTTAAGTATCTAATTGCATTAGATTTAGAATCGGTCATTGGTACCTAAACACCTCAAAGTAATCGATAAAACCTTGGATTGCGAGCATAATTCGTTCCGGAAACGTGTTTGTAATCCAAAGCACTCGTATATCAAAGCACTCATATATCAGTTGTGATCACGTGACGCTCGGCAGACAAAGCGTAAACACGTACTACTCGTATTGCAAGACCTCGCTCGTTTATCAAATGAATATTTATTTAACATTTTTGCTCGTCTTGCAAAACACTCGCAGACCAAGTTACTCGTAATCCAAGGTTTTACTGTAATCGGTCGTTCGCATGCGCCCATCTCTTATTGTCAGAGCCATCAGAGACAACTGCGTTTGTCTGCTGTCAAGGGTGACCGTCGCAAAGAGGCGTGGTATCTCAATCAAGTCAACTCAACTCTATTTTCATTTTGCTTAAAACACGTGGTACCTTTTTGGCATATATCTTCCACCCAAAGTGCCATCGACACATGAATACACCCGTAAACGTAGGCAATTGTACACAGTGAGAGATAAAAACAATCGTACTACTTGCATCTCTTCATAATATAAACAAAAAAGCGAGTTGTGGCCGTGATTTACTTGCTGTACGAAAGTGCAATGAGAGATGTGCGCTTGAGATGCGACTTGTATGTGTCTACGTTGAACTTCTTTCGCATCGTACGCATCCGACCGTGCTAATCGGAGGAGTGGGCGGTGGACAACGTAGCGACGGGAGCGATGAAATCGCATCCACTGGGTGCGCCCCCACTGAGCTACATCCACGACCCCACCTTTGTGGTCCCTCTCCCTCGCAGGGACCCCAAAGTGATTTTACTTCCTTACGTCAGCACGACCACCGACAGCGCGGGCATTTCGGCCGATTACAGAGATGCCGATTATCCGGCCGGCTCAACCATCACAGGTTGATGGGCCGGGGCGGTGCCAAGACAAAGGCGCCCCCCCCCCCCCCTCGGGCCCTTTGGCTGTGGCAACCAAAACGGCGACCGAGGTGGCGTTGGCGGCGGAGGCGTCAGAGGGTTTTACGAAACCGAGACAACATCCAAGGGGCGGTTGAGCCGGGATCAGCCGTCGCAAGTCTCCCCCCACACCCCCGGGGGGTTGCGAGGGGTGGGGGGGGGGGGGAGATTTCAGGTGCCTTATCTCCTGCGCCGCGCGCAACCCGCAAATCCCCGAGCAATTCCACAAAGGAATTCTCCGTTTCATCTGAGCGGTATTGGTTTGCGCGCGTGTCTGCTCCGTCGTCGGTGGGTTTCAGCGCGAGGGTTTTAGGGGATCGCGGCGCCACGCAGTTCTCATTGCGGGGGCTCGCTTCTGCCCGACCAACGGAATGCGCGTTACCGTCGTTATCGTCGTTATCGTCGTTATCGTCGCTATCGTCGCTATCGCCGCCGTCACATGGGCCGTCGCCTGGTCTACAGGAGGTCGCGGGTTCGATCCCGACCCTGATGCCTGCTGTATATTTGGAGTTTGCGTTTTCTTTCTCTCTCCTCGTGCTCGAGTGGATTTTTCTCCAGGTCCTCCCGGTGATGACGACGACAATGATGAGCTCCCCTGCCACATTCGCTCAGAATGTAACGACGTGGCAAAGGAAAGTTTACGCAGCGCACGGTGACAGCCAAAGAAAGGGATCGTGCAAGATGTTAACTACCTCGCCTGATATACTGCAGGTTGCGAGGTCGATCCTGACCCCGTGGTCGCGTGTATTTTTCTCCGGGTCCTCCGGTGTTTCCCGCCTACATTTAGAGTCAACATCACGCGTTTAGAGTTATTTCTCTGCTAGAAATTTCCACGCGATAAGCCACTTCGTTGAGCTATCATTTGTGGGCAGGTTGCTTCTTAAAAAGAGCTACATAGCTCGGTGGGCTTTACCTAGTAAAATACAAATAGTTTAGTCTACTTTGTTTAACATTTTTAATGTGTTGATGGTTTAAACGTCTCCATCCCCCATAGAGGGACTGTGTGTTGTTGTCTTGGTGTGGTCTGGGACTTTTTGTTGTTGTTGGTTTGTTTCTGCCTTGCCCCAAACTTACATTTACTGTTTGATAATCGGAAGGAATTGATGTACATGTGCTATTTGTACTTGTATACTTCATTTATATTTAATTATTTTTAGAGACTTGCTTACATTTTCTCTATATCTTGCTCTTATAATAATATCGTCTTTTGTATAATTTTTGTTGATGTGGCTCGCTTGACCCGCCGCTACTAGACATCTGTGAAAGAAAGCTTCGTAGATCATCGGATTCCTCCGGACTAGACAAAGAATCTGATTCTGAGATGATGTCAACTCATGTGCAGGAAGGGGACAGATCATTACATCGCGAGATGGTGAGAAATGGAAAGGGCTTGGGTCTGGGCGGCGGAGGACAAAGCATGGCTAATGATGACGATCATGATGATGATAATTATAAGGGCTATATTGCAGCCGTGTATGACTGAATTCGCCAGCAGTGTCGGCTCACGTTACATGCATGGAATCACGCGCGTCAGAATCGACTGCCTAGAATTCGTAAAACCGACGATTGATTCTTGGGTTACACTTTCAACCCTAAATTGCGACGACTCGTCAAAAAATTGATGACAAGGCGGGAAGCGAGAGGTGATGGGGGGGAGGCGATGTATCATTCTTTCCTTCTCTTTTTAAACTCGATTTGATTTAGATATTTTTTTTACTTTCGCGCGAACAACCCTGCCGCCTCCCTCCATTATCGGTTGCTTTTGAAATGAAATAAAAGCGTTGCGCACGGCCGATGAAAAAAGATCCGCGCCCTCTTTGAAGCCCGTGCCGTTTCCTTGAGCCCGTGCCAAAATGTGACGGGGGGGCTGCGCGCCTACACTAAAAATTCCAGACGGAGCTTGAGGTGGCGCCCACCGGCGCGACCCCACGCGCTCTGCTGCCCATCGCCCTCCATCGCCACCGCTCCATCGCCACCGCTCCATCGACACCGCCGCCACCACCGCTGCTCCGCTCCGCCGTTAAAACCGCACGCCGCCTCTCGAACAATGAGAGGATGCTGGCGCCGGCCCACGACGCATCGCCATGTGCATCAGCAGAAGCAGCAGCAGCAATGGTCTATCCACTGCTGGATGCAGGCCTCCTCACGGCACGTCGGTCACGTAGATTATTATCTGACCCTTACTTCGCCATGCTGGTCAATGCGGATTGGTGAAGGGGTTGTGGGTGTCCAAGGCCTACGGTGTTGTAGTACCGGCTCCGCAAATCGCCCTGACCACTCTCCTGGGGATTGTTTTGGCACGGGCCATATTTTGTGTGCTTATCGTCACCAGATGTCCACAAGGACAGGACGTACATTTCACTTCCTCGTCCTTAAGGCAAGCCGACCGTAATAGGTTACACACGAATGGCCGTGACGTCAAACTAACGGGGCGTATGCGACGTCGCGCGTTTCGGAAGAGTACCGAGCGAGCGGGGAATACATCCCCGCCGTCCAGTGGCGTTGGCCATGGCCAGGACTGGTTCGTCACGCGGTGCTTTACACCACTGCACAACGGCTACAACAAAGATAAAAATCGCCCGTATTGCCTAGCCAGACTGTCGGGGCAAGTGCTGTTGGCGAGCACCTATGAAGACAGCACAGCACACGAGGGGGGGGGGAAGGCAACACCACGCCTGGCCGCCTTTGTGTCCCCAGTGGTGATGTTTACATACCACACCAGATACTCATTTGAGGCTGAGTCTACCTAGAGGAGGCCCAGGACCGGTTCAGATAATCGTAACTGGTGTTGCCCATGAGCGGGAATCGAACTCGGGTTTCCGAGTTCTACCGCTCCCCACCATGAGCAGAAACACACACTCACAGAAGACACAAAGACAAAAATTCCCCATAAACCATTCACAGACTTTTAGGGTAAGTGCTGTTAGCGAAAACCTATGCAGGGCGGAACTATACACTAGGGGGTGGGCGGGCAGCAGTACGCCCGACCGCCTTTGTCTCCCCAGTGGCGGTGTTTACTACACCCCACATCAGGTACTCATTTGAGGCTGAGTCGACGTAGGGCCAGGGCTCCAGGACTGGTTCAAGCACAAAGACACACACAGATGACACAGCCGCCGCCGTTCACCTGCGCTCGTTGTCGTCGAGGTGTGAGAAAAGCACGTTCTTGGCGATGGCCTTGGACAGGGCCTGCATTGTCTTGTAGTCCTTGGGGATCACCTGGTGGCCGGAGAGGGGGGGGGGGCCGGGGGAGAGAGCACGGCAGACAAAATAAGGGGGCGAACACCCCTAAGTGAACGCTCGCCGTTGGAAAAAAACCACTGAAACCTTGCCCTCTGCAGGGACGTCGGGGGAGGGGGGGGCAGGGGCTGGGGGGGGACGTTGATTTCTGAATTTAAAGTTCACTCAACGCATTGATTCTCACGGGCAATTTTACGATTCGTAACATTTCTTTTTCAACCGAAACGATGATTGGGCGTGTTGAACGCTTCCTTCTTACACGTGACTGTTTTACTTTGTTTAGCTGTGCCGGGTGGCCGAGTGCCTTAAACGACACACTCACACACGCTTGCGCAGATTAATAGGCGGCATTAAAAAAAATATTCTGAATAACTGACTTCAGTTTTACAACAACAAACGCTCAAAGCCGCTATCTTCCGCCTCGTGATTTCATCATTTAGATCCCGGTCCACCTTCAATAACTGCACGAGGGACAGACATGAGTGGAGAAAATGGAACAAAAGCTGAAAAGTGTGCAAAGAAGCTTCGGAGAGGCACATTCTGCAATTCACGCTGACAGACGGGGAGAGGAGCGGCACGGAAAAGAGAGTATCCGCAAGTTATAGATGTCATGGATCGTGAGAGAAATCATCATGACCTTTAAGTCGGGTAAGAGGACATGTCACTCGGAGGGATGAGCGCTGGTCGAGACTAAAGATGGAATGGCAGCCAAAATAATGAAGGCGCATGCCCAAGAGTGAGGTCACATTGGGAACGAAGTGACGAGCTGAGCTCGTTTTGCATGAGCGAGATGGATTGCCACATCGCAAGACCGCGGGAGATGATGACAGCCTGGGGTTGCCTACATCCCGCAGTGGATATATCACGGATGACAACGATGATGATGGTGGTGATGAGCATAAAGATGTTATCACGTTGACGTGGTCATCAATCCTTCGTGGTCTCACCCACATCTCCCCCTCCCCTCCGCTTATCTCTCCTCGCCTTTCGTCCTTGTACCCAGCATGCCGAGCATTCCACTAACCTCGACCTTCTTATCGCACCTGCATTCGACCTCTCCTCCTCCGTGAAGTAGGGGCGGGGGGGAGGAGGGTTGCTCATTCTTCTCTGCCGCTCCTGTTGTTGGGAAATTCTCCCCTCGTGTTATCCGTGTCGCTGTGTCCCCTGATTAAAAGTCCTGCTCAAGGCCAACATTGCCCCCCCCCACCCCCCTCTTTGTTTGTGACCGACTGACTACCTGGAACTGGAATTAGAATCTTTATTTATAGTGGGAGGAATACAATCAGATATAAAACTCCTTTTTCACAGATGACCAGTAGGGGCGGGTCATAAAGTTACAACGTCAAACAATACAAAAACACGATAGGAGTGTAAAGTGTCTAAAAGGTGGACAAATCACTCAAATTAAATCATTAAACTTTATTTTATTTTACCAGGTAGAGCCCACTGAGCTAGTTAGCTTCTTTTTCAGAAGCCACCTGGCCATCACAGATGATAGCTCAACGAGGCTGGGATGATGAGCCTCATCGGATACCTTGAGAGAAAGTTGCCGCTTTAGTGAACTCATACAAATATTACCGAGGCAGTTAGACATAACAACACGTGTTTTTGTTGTTGTTGATGGTGAGGGAGGGGGTGGTTGTGTTTTGCCACTGTAGCCCCGTCACCTAGCCCCCCCCCCCCAGTCCTTGGCCCCCGGTGCGCACTCCACAGCGACGCCACTTGCCCAGACCACACATCTTCTCTACTTTGCACCGCTATCGTGTTGTCGTCTTGTTTGCCGTTGTAACTTGCTCACCCCCGTGCCCCGACTGGACATCTGTGTAAAACAGCTGCACAGCTCATCGGATTCCCCCGGGATGAATAATACAAGATTCTGATTCTGACGTACGAGACACTCGCCGCCTCCTCCTCTGTGCGCGGTTAGCCCCGCGTTCACACAGCAGAGGGCAGCACCTACCACTGGCACCCCACAACTCAGACTAACGCTCACCTTGCACACAGAGGGCAGCACCTGCCCATTCTGTCACACAACTCAGACTAACACTCACCTTGCACACAGAGGGCAGCACCTGCCCACGCGCCCCTCAACTCAGACTAACGCTCACCTTGCACACAGAGGGCAGCACCTGCCCACGTGCCCCTCAACTCAGACTAACGCTCACCTTGCACACAGAGGGCAGCACCTGCCCACGCGCCCCATAACTCAGACTAACGCTCACCTTGCCACAGAGGGCAGCACCTGCCCACGCGCCCCACAACTCAGACTAACGCTCACCTTGCCACAGAGGGCAGCACCTGCCCACGCGCCCCTCAACAAAGACTAACACTCACCTTGCACACAGAGGGCAGCGCCTGCCCACGCGCCCCACAACTCAGACTAACGCTCACCTTGCCACAGAGGGCAGCACCTGCCCACGCGCCCCACAACTCAGACTAACGCTCACCTTGCACACAGAGGGCAGCGCCTGCCCACGTGCCCCACAACTCAGACTAACACTCACCTTACCCACAGAGGGCAGCACCTGCCCACGCGCCCCACAACTCAGACTAACGCTCACCTTGCACACAGAGGGCAGCACCTGCCCACGTGCCCCACAACGCAGACTAACGCTCACCTTGCACACAGAGGACAGCACCTGCCCACGTGCCCCACAACGCAGACTAACGCTCACCTTGTCCACAGAGGGCAGCACCTGCCCACGTGCCCCTCAACTCAGACTAACGCTCACCTTGCACACAGAGGGCAGCACCTGCCCACGCGCCCCACAACTCAGACTAACACTCACCTTGCTCACAGAGGGCAGCGCCTGCCCACGCTGTCACACAACTCAGACTAACGCTCACCTTGCACACAGAGGGCAGCACCTGCCCACGCGCCCCACAACTCAGACTAACACTCACCTTGCACACAGAGGGCAGCACCTGCCCACGCTGTCACACAACTCAGACTAACGCTCACCTTGCACACAGAGGGCAGCACCTGCCCACGCTGTCACACAACTCAGACTAACACTCACCTTGCACACAGAGGGCAGCACCTGCCCACGTGCCCCACAACTCAGACTAACGCTCACCTTGTCCACAGAGGGCAGCACCTGCCCACGTGCCCCACAACTCAGACTAACGCTCACCTTGTCCACAGAGGGCAGCACCTGCCCACGTGCCCCTCAACTCAGACTAACGCTCACCTTGCACACAGAGGGCAGCACCTGCCCACGCGCCCCGCAACTCAGACTAACGCTCACCTTGTCCACAGAGGGCAGCACCTGCCCACGCTGTCCCACAACTCAGACTAACGCTCACCTTGCACACAGAGGGCAGCACCTGCCCACGCGCCCCACAACTCAGACTAACACTCACCTTGCACACAGAGGGCAGCACCTGCCCACGCGCCCCGCAACTCAGACTAACGCTCACCTTGTCCACAGAGGACAGCACCTGCCCACGTGCCCCACAACGCAGACTAACGCTCACCTTGTCCACAGAGGGCAGCACCTGCCCACGTGCCCCTCAACTCAGACTAACGCTCACCTTGCACACAGAGGGCAGCACCTGCCCACGCGCCCCACAACTCAGACTAACACTCACCTTGCTCACAGAGGGCAGCGCCTGCCCACGCTGTCACACAACTCAGACTAACGCTCACCTTGCACACAGAGGGCAGCACCTGCCCACGCGCCCCACAACTCAGACTAACACTCACCTTGCACACAGAGGGCAGCACCTGCCCACGCTGTCACACAACTCAGACTAACGCTCACCTTGCACACAGAGGGCAGCACCTGCCCACGCTGTCACACAACTCAGACTAACACTCACCTTGCACACAGAGGGCAGCACCTGCCCACGTGCCCCACAACTCAGACTAACGCTCACCTTGTCCACAGAGGGCAGCACCTGCCCACGTGCCCCACAACTCAGACTAACGCTCACCTTGTCCACAGAGGGCAGCACCTGCCCACGTGCCCCTCAACTCAGACTAACGCTCACCTTGCACACAGAGGGCAGCACCTGCCCACGCGCCCCGCAACTCAGACTAACGCTCACCTTGTCCACAGAGGGCAGCACCTGCCCACGCTGTCCCACAACTCAGACTAACGCTCACCTTGCACACAGAGGGCAGCACCTGCCCACGCGCCCCACAACTCAGACTAACACTCACCTTGCACACAGAGGGCAGCACCTGCCCACGCGCCCCACAACTCAGACTAACACTCACCTTGCACACAGAGGGCAGCACCTGCCGACGCGCCCCACAACTCAGACTAACACTCACCTTGCACACAGAGGGCAGCACCTGCCCACGTGCCCCTCAACTCAGACTAACGCTCACCTTGTCCCCAAAGGGCAGCACCTGCCCACGTGCCCCTCAACTCAGACTAATGCTCACCTTGTCCACAGAGGGCAGCACCTGCCCACGTGCCCCTCAACTCAGACTAACGCTCACCTTATCCACAGAGGGCAGCACCTGCCCACGTGCCCCTCAACTCAGACTAACACTCACCTTGTCCACAGAGGGCAGCACCTGCCCACGCGCCCCACAACTCAGACTAACACTCACCTTGCACACAGAAGGCAGCACCTGCCCACGCGCCCCACAACTCAGACTAACGCTCACCTTGCACACAGAGGGCAGCACCTGCCCACGTGCCCCACAACTCAGACTAACACTCACCTTGCACACAGAGGGCAGCACCTGCCCACGCGCCCCTCAACTCAGACTAACACTCACCTTGTCCACAGAGGGCAGCACCTGCCCACGCGCCCCACAACTCAGACTAACACTCACCTTGCACACAGAGGGCAGCGCCTGCCCACGTGCCCCACAACTCAGACTAACGCTCACTTTGCCACAGAGGGCAGCACCTGCCCACGCGCCCCACAACTCAGACTAACACTCACCTTGCCACAGAGGGCAGCACCTGCCCACGCGCCCCACAACTCAGACTAACGCTCACCTTGCACACAGAGGGCAGCACCTGCCCACGCGCCCCACAACTCAGACTAACGCTCACCTTGCTCACAGAGGGCAACACCTGCCCACGTGCCCCACAACTCAGACTAACACTCACTTTGCACACAGAGGGTATCACCTGCCCACGCATCACACAACTCAGACTAACGCTCACCTTGCACACAGAGGGCAGCACCTGCCCACGCGCCCCACAACTCAGTAACGCTCACGTTGCACACAGAGGGTATCACCTGGTCACGCGCCCTGCCAAGGAGAGTCATGCTCACTTTACCCACGTACCTCCTCCTGCGTGCAGTGACCTCTCTGGTGGACACAGTCGGGGGGGGGGTGGTAGCAGCACCTGCTCACTCACCCTGCCATGGAGAGTTACGCTCACCTTGCGCACATACGAGGCGGCGTCCTCCTCGGTGTAGACCTCGGCGCTCACCGCTCCGCGCCGCATCAGCCTCTGCACCACGGGGTTGGGAGGCGGAGGAGAGATCTCGTCCTCGCGCGAGTCCCACTGCGACGAGCCGCCTCTCTGCCGTGCCTCCTCCTGCCAAAGGTCAACACCACCACCACCGACGACGACGACGACAAATGACCGAGTTACGTTAGCTCGGTAACATTTCAATCGCAATTTATTTCAAACGTAGCTTCCAATCCTGGCTGTAGGGCATCGGCTGAGTCAGCCAATCGATCGTTCTGCTTGGGGATGGTGAACTGAGTACCACAAGGTGCTAGAGTGGCATGCGGAGTAAGAGAGGCCGAGCCAGAACGGTCGAGATGCTGGACTTTGAATCCGGATTTCAGCAGCCGTGATTAAAGCTAAAGTGTGTTGTATGTTGAATACGTATTTGATCTAGCTGGCCAGGATTGGCCAAAACTTAGCCCACTTATCACCCAGGCAACTGCAGATCACGGATTAAGTGTTTCTGACGTACCGTTAAACAATAACATATTTAAGAATCACAGCTAAGGGACAAACAACAGGGCATAGCGGCGTGATGCTCTCAGTCCGGTCACCAATGGCCATGCCAAAAATTAAAACGCGCATTAAATTTGTATCAGCACTCAATCGGGAAAAAATCCCAACTCTGAGAATTATAACAAAAGTGGGTTTGACTGCCTTGCAAAACAAAACCTTTCTCTACAAGAGCGTGTGGATAAAATGAACCCACTTAACTACTCGGGAAGTATGCTTTTGATACTTTCTTCTCACGGGATGTTACGATGCTGCGAGAGAGAGTTCCAAATGGAGCCGTGTCACGACGCTATGCCAAAATTCGGTCACAGTTCCTATGACCTGAACTGTTTCATTGCTTTTATGGCTTTATTTTGGTGATTTTCGAAAAGTTTTTTGGTTTGGCCATGTTTGTTTGTTGTAGTACAGAGTTAGACTGATGACCTTAATCTAAGTTGTCTTGTGGTTGTTGTTGTTTGACTTGCATCCCATTGGGATATTTGCACAGGGTTGGTGTACGGTGATTTTTCTGTAATATTTTGCTGTCTTTTCTTAGATTTTCTGTTTGCACATATTCACTTTAAGATGTTTTCTTGTTCATGTTTTTGTTTTTTGTTTTTTGCGGTTGCACCCGATTCAAGAGCCGAATGGCTCACAGGGCTATACCTAATAAATGAACTTTGAACTTTGAACACCAGCACAATGGGAAGCTAAAATCGTGGAAAATTGTCAACAAGCAATCAAAACAGACGCCACCTTGAGTCAATGGAAGTTACCGCTATCAAGGGGCCGTCCCCCCCATCCTCCTCCCACACAACGAATGTGGAATTTCCACTGCCGGCTTAATTCTCAGGGCTTGCGACAGGCACGACTAACGGCCCCCAATGGCACGATTGAGCTCGGGAAGAGGGAGCGGTTTTTGGCTTTGACCTGGTTGTGTTGGATGTGGAAAGGGAACTGGATTTCTCAGTGGGCTAACCCCGAGTCGGGTTCAATAAAGGGGGGCTCTGTGTGATGAACTGAAGGGGATCCCCCCCCTCCTCCCTACACCCCCCCCCCTCTTCCTACCCCCCCCCCCCCACCAATGTGGACAATCTGTGTGGGAGAGAGACCCCCCCCCCTCGGTGGCCTGTGACGTGCGCTTGAGCGTCAAATGACGCGTTTCGGAGCCATGGCAACACTGCAGGGTGGTGCGTAATGAGTAGGGGAGAGAAAAATACAAAGACAAAGCTCCCCCCTCCCGTATAGCCTGCACAGACTGTCGAGGGCAAGTGCTGTAAGCGAGTAGCACCGATGAAGGCCGGCACGACACTCGAGGTGGTGATAGGCGGCCAGCACCACGCCCGGCCGCCTTTGTCTCCCCATTGGCAATGTTTTTTTTTTTTACACCACACTAGGTACTCAATTGAGGCCGAGTCGACCTAGGGGAGGCCCAGCACCGGTGCAGATAATCGTCACCGGTGTTGGTGGCCGAGATTGCGGGAATCAAAGCCGCATTGCTGGGTTCGTAGCGCAGCGCGCTAACCGATACGCTACCGCTCCCCACGATACACACACACAATGACTCGTATGCGTACGTATGCAGGGACAGGCATATGTTAGACATATACTATATACAAATACACACATACGTATATCTGTAATATAAAAGCAAGTAAAATTAAATCAACGATAGACTGACACATACAAACCATATGCAGAGACGTACACACATCTGGTGCGGTGTGTAAACATCGCCACTGGGGAGACAAAGGCGGCCGGGCGTGGTGCTGGCCACCCACCCCCTCGTGTGCCACAGTGCCGGCCTTCATAGGTGCTACTCGCTAACAGCACTTGCCCCTGCAGTCTATTAAGGCTATAGGGGGATCTTTGTCTTTGATGCATGTATATATATACACAGTGATGCAAATACACACATTTATACACTGGGACGTAGCCACACACATATATACACAGACATATATATATATACATACACACTTATACGGTGTTCATATCAACTAGTATCTACCCACTGCTGGATGAAGGCTTCCCCTAGCCATTGCCATCTTATATTTTTTTTACGACAGCCATTGCACAAATTATTCGGAGTGAACGCGTCTATAAAGGCACGTACGAAGGATCGGGAATCAAACCCAGGTGGTGGCGGTCGTGTTTGGAGCTTTGTGAGCCAACACACTGCGTCCAATGCCTCGCCGAGTATGCACATCCACCGGCAATCACACGGAGGCACACACGCAGGTGGCACGCGTCCGGCAGACAGACAACCATCGCAGGCACAAGGACAAACGTACAACGCAATCACAGCCACGTGCACACCAACACAGACAAATATCCCCCTTACAGCCTCCACAAAATGTTGGGCCAAGTGCTGTTAGCGAGTAGCAACTATGAAGGCCGACAACAACACACACGAGGGGGGGGGGGTGGGTGGGTGTCCAGCACCAGGCCCGGTCGCCTTTGTATGCCAGTGGCGATTTCTACACACCGCAACAGGCACTCGTTTAAGCCGAACACACACACACACTGCCATGCACACACATTACTGTCACGTCTCAGCGCATGATCGTGGCTAAGGAACAGCCATGGTTCGTCTTGCAGACGAACAATCGTACACCAGCCAGCGGTTCCTCTCTCGTGCAAGAGAGATCTGGAAGGCACCTTAACAATGTAAAGACGACGCACTCGCAAATACGCAACACGGTGTGCGCAAAGATATCGTCGAGAAAGGACTTCGGGATATTACGCAGCCTGCAAAACATCCTCGCATCGCCAGTGGTCCTGGCGTGGTTGGTGCGGGCTGTGGTGCGAGGAGTGACATGAGAGCCAGCCAGCCCCTTCCAAATGTCCTCCCCTCTTCGTGCAGATCTGAACCTCGAGCGCATCTTCTCGCCAGAGGGCCCGGGTGCCGTTTCACCGCCTGTCCACTCCATAGCCACGCCACTGCCCCCTCGCTAAGTGTAAGTGCTCACCATAAAAAATAAAGTCAACCAATGTGATGGTTATCATCATCATCATCATGAGCCGTGGTCGATCAACTGTTGGGTGGTTTGTCTCACCGGGTTGCCACCTCTCACGATTCTGCAATGTTAACAATGTGACCAGCACCTGTACGTGAAATTGATGTCACTGCTCCATCTCCTAGTTTACTCTCTCTCTCTTTCTCCTTGGACGCGTTTGAATTATTTACCCGGGTCACATATCTTGAAAATCAGCACATCCTGGTCTCTCTTGAGTTCTCACCTCTGGTTAAACAGAATGAGCTAGATTACCCTGTTAAACTATTCCCTGATCCACATGTTCCTCTTGCTGTCTCAATGTAATCCCACGCGTGAACCGAGGTTAGGTACGAGAAGAGATGCAATACCTTAGATCCCTGCTCCCTAAACCCACCCTTCCATCTGACATTCCTTACCAAAAAGTCACGCTTAAATGTGCAGACCTGAAGCAGCCATATAAGTGCATGACTGCTTTGGAATGAGAAGTTCCATAAAGTAGTCCTCCAGTCTAAATAAAGATTCTGATTATACATAAGTAATTGCGTAACCATTTAAAAGTCATTTGTCAATCTACTGCTGGATGATGTCCTACCAACTCTGCGTGAGTCGCTATACTTCACCACTCTGGCCATCGCGGGATTCATGAAGTGACAATGCAGAAGCAGTTCAGGTACTTCTGGTCGCTGGCTCAATGCCGCACCGTGCTAACCGTTGCGCCACCGCTCCACACTCCCATGCACTATACTGTGCTGCAAAACAATGCACTGCATGGAAGTGAGGGGGGTCTGAACTGTGAAGTTTCATGGCTCACGTCAAATATACCGTACGCTGTAATGGACATCCGTGAAAAGGAGCTTTATACAGTGATGGAAAAAAGTATTTGATCCCCTGCTGATTTTGTACGTTTGCCCAATGACAAACAAATGATCAGTCTATAATTTTAATGGTAGATTTATTTGAACAGTGAGAGACAGAATAACAACAACAAAAATCCAGAAAAACGCATGTCAAAAATGTTATAAATTGATTTGCATTTTAATGAGAAAAATGCGTTTTTCTGGATTGTTTTTGTTGCTATTCTGTCTCTCACTGTTCAAATAAACCTACCATTAAAATTATAGACTGATCATTTCTTTGTCAGTGGGCAAGCGTACAAAATCAGCAGGGCATCAAATACTTTTTTCCCTCACTGTAGCTCATCGGATTCCTCCAGTATAAATAAAGATTCTGATTCAGACACAAGGTACAGGTGCAGCCCTGCAATTACTTGCTGATGGAAGGGCCTACACTTCAGAGTGAGCTCTAGAGAAACCTTCGGTCACAAAATAACGCGAGCGACGACTGATATATGAAACGATCCGATTGACAAAAAAATAAAAAGATCTCCCTATAGTCTTAACAAACTGTTAGGCCAAGTGCTGTTAGCGAGCAGCACCTATGAAGGCCAGAACGACACACAAGGGGGTAGGTGGCCAGCACCACGCCGGGCCGCCTTTGTCTACCTAGTGGCGATGTTTACACACACCGCACCAGATACTCATTTGAGGCTGAGTCGACCTAGGGGAGGCCCAAGATCGGTTCAGATAGTCGTCACCGGTTGTTGGTTGGCCCTTCACCTGGGAATCGAACTCGGGTGGCCGGGTTCTTAGCGCAGTGCGCTAACCGCTACGCCACCGCTCCCTTTCGACAACCACCCACACCACCAACCCACGCTGTGAAGTATGGTCAATACGATTCCCACGGCTCACACGGCATGTTGAGGCATTCATCCAGCAGTGGGTTCACATGGGGCTGTAAATCAGCCACTTTGTTATCGCCAACATGCGCGATTAGTCGTGCCCATACATTCACCTACTGACATGTATACGTGTACGTATCTGTTGTATACTGTCATGTGCTGTACACTACACAGGCGGTATACACACCAGACCGTACACTCCGCGCACACCATCGATACCTTAGCTATTAAGATTATATTATCTATGACGATACACACCCCACATAAATACTGTATACTCCTTCATAGGCATCATGCCAAACACACCACACACGTACACGGCACACCATCCGTACACTTAACTATTAACACTCATAAATACACCACACATAAATACACACACACCACACACGTAGACAGCACACCATTCACTTCACACACCACTCACACCACACCACTCACACCACGTAAATACTACACGCATCACACCCATTAACACACCCATTAACACATACACACCAAGCCTTCCTTACTCTGCACACAAACACCAATGATGGCAAACACCCACCCCCGTGTATGGACTACGCACATGCACACTCGCCACTCCACATACACCAATAACATTCAACATATGATGACGCTCTACCACTCATATGCACACGCATGTACATACAATGCTTAAGTCATAGACTTCACGATTGCATACTTTGTTATCATGTTATATACTACTAGATTATATGCCCGTCCTAGGACGCAAGCTGTAATATTTACGAAAATTTTGAGCAGAGTATAATTGTATCTTGTGTAAATTTAATGGCAGTGAATCTTGCACAAAAGTATGTCAAACACGTCACTGCAGTTCACTGTAGCGCTGTATTAATGGCAGTGAATCTGGCACCAAACGATGTCATCAAACACCTAACTTCATGTCACTGTAGCACTGTATATAACTGACCTTTAATTTGTTTAAATTCACTGCTCTGATACTTTATTCTGTTCTGCTTTCGGTCGCTGGGGTTGAAATAAATTGGAAATCGATACAATACCTGGAAAATCACCGAGGAATGTCTATTTTAGCATAATGTAGAAGCATAAATTAGACTTACCTTTTGTCTCAAGTGCTGAAGAAATAAATCAAGACACCAAATCCACTTTGTTGCTGCGTATAATTATTTATTAAAATAACTTTCAATAAAGAAACGTGAAACTGAACGCGAATTTGCGAAAAAAAAATATTTCTGCTCCACCTTCTGCGTGAGTGTAAAAATCTACCTGCTCATGTATATTAATGAGGAGGTGCGGCATGTGTAGTGACGTCACGCGCGTTACACACAAACATACATTCTTGGCTCATTATAGTAGTGATACTCTCTCTTTCGGTAAAGTTACGTAGATAAATAGTAGTAATGCCGCGGAAAGACGCATGTTCTGTTTGCCATAATGATGCTGCTGGTAGTGATGACGATGATGATGACGGGGGTAAAGGTTGCTGTTGTTAAAAATGACCATGATGGTTTAGGACACACAGGGTTGTATGGACACCTTTGCTGATTATATTAATTATGATGATGATGCGCGGTGATGCGCGATGATTGTGCTGCTGCTAATGATTATTACGACGCTGAAGCTGCTGCTGATGTTTTTTGTGCTGCTGCTTACGACGATGATGATGTTATTAATATCCCTACTCATGAGACCGGATTCGTAGATGCATTCCTGTGTGTAAAATATGTCCGTATGTTTGTGTAGGTATATTTATGTATAGAATTATATGTAGACATGTTTACTGTACATGTATCTGTGGCCGACTAAAATGATGGATGATGGTGGTGCATGTGTATGCATGCATGTGTTGATGGATGTGTTAATTACTCATCACACACACACACTGATAAATATCACATGACATACCCAAAACAATGACAAAGATCCCCCGTATAGCCTCAACAGACTCTTGGGGCAAGTGCTGTTAGCGAGCACCTGTGAAGGCCGGCACTGTGGCACACGAGGGGGTGGGTGGCAAGCACCACGCCCGGCCGCATTTGTCTCCCTAGTGGCGGTGATTGGACACCATGCACCAAGTGCTCATTTGAGGCTGAGTCGATGGTGGTGCATGTGTATGCATGCATGTGTTGATGGATATGTGAATTTCTCATCACACACACACTGATAAATATCACGCGACATACCCATAACACGCATAACACTTCACACACACACATCACACACCCATCAGCAATAAAATACACCCCAAACACTACCCATTAAATCGTTTGACCCATAGCACTAAACAAAATGATATCACACATACCCATCACGAACAACACACCCATCCCACAAACATGCGTCATCCGCTCCTCATTACCCACCCCAAACGCAGACACTAAACACAACCCCATCCGCACTCACCACACCACACACACCACACCACACACCCATCAATCCAATCGTACTCATCACAAACACATCACTCACCTATGACACCCATCACATCGCACACTGCCCACCCACACCCCTCTCATGGACACACTGATATCACCCATCACACACCGGTCACACTCACCTATGACAAAGACAAAGATCCCCCGTGTAGCTTTAACACATTTATTGGGGCAAGAGCTGTTAGCGAGCACCTATGAAGACCGGCACGGCGCACGAGGAGGTGGGTGGCCAGCACCACGCCCAGCCGCCTTTGTCTTCCTACACACCGCACCAGGTACTCATTGAGGCTGAGTCGACCTAGCAGATGTCCGGGACCGTTTCGTGAGCGGGAATCGAACTCAGGTGTCCGGGTTCGTAACCTCCCCACTGACATATGACACCCATAACCTACACACATCTACACACACCACACGCCCATCATATCACACATCTATCACACCCCACATCGTTCATCACATCACAACACCAACCACATTACACACCCATCATTGTCCTATGGCACCCAACACATCACACAACGTACCCATCACACACCCATCACTGTCCTATGTCACCCATCAACATCACTCTCACCTATGACACCCACTACAACACTCACCCATCATGATATAACCCCCATCTCGTTACACACCTATCACTCACCTATCACCCAGCAACCATCATCACTCATCTCAAAGCCCATATAGATTTAACAGATTGTTAAGGCAAGCGCTGTTAGCGAGCACCTAATGAAAGCCAATACGGGGGGGGGGGCGGGTGGCCATAACCACGCTCGGCCGCCTTTGTCTCCCCAGTGCTGACGCTTACACACCGGAATCATCTAAGGCTGAGTCGACCTAGCGGAGGCCCGGGGACCGGCTCAGACACAATATTGGTAACCGATGTTGTGTGGCCAAGGGTTCGATGTCAGCGCGAGTGCGTGCGCTAACCACTTGCGCCACCGCTCCCCCGTCACCACCACTCACCAGTCATCTCGCACACAAAGACAAACATCTCCCCGCGTTAGCGAGCAGCACCTACGAAGGCCGGAACGGCACACGAGGGGGTGGGTGGGTGGGTGGGTGGCCAGCACCACGCCCGGCCGCCTTTGTCTCCCCCAGTGGCGACGTTTACTGCACACCGCACCAGGTACTCGTTTGAGGCCGAGTCGACCTAGGGGACGCCCAGGACCGGTTCAGATAATCGTCATTGGTGTTGGCCGTGAGCGGGAATCGAACCCGGGTCACCAGGTTCGTAGCGCAGCGCGCTAACCGCTACACTACCGCCCCCCACAATATACACACACATCATGTTGTGTGGCCAACGGTTCCATGTCAGCACATGTGTCATCAGCACATGTGTGTCATCAGCACATACATACACACATACATACACACATACATACACACACATACACACATACACATACGCACACGCACACACATACGCACACGTTCATATACACACACGTACATACACACACACGTACATACACACACACATACACACACACATACACACACATACACACGCATACACACACACACATACACACACATACACACACACGCACCTTATCGAGTTTCTCGAAGTACTCCTTGAGGAAGCGGAGCGGCCGTTCAGGTTTGGCGATGCACATGGTCACGATGCAGTCCTTGAGCATCTGCTGCACGCGATGCTTCTGCACGTACGCCTCGCACTCGCGCAGGGCTTGCTCCTCCGCAGAGAGGATGGAGGAGGCCATTTGTGTGATCAGCTCCTCTCTCTATATCTCCCCTCTCTCTCTCTATCACTCACTCACACTCACCACCAACACTCTCCTCTCTCTCTATCACTCACTCACACTCACCAACACTCGCTCACTCTAACCCCTACTCTCGGCTCTCTCGTGCACCCCCCCTCGCCTCCTTGTGTAATCTTTGTGTCGATGTGCGTATGTCGATGTGTATGTCACCTACGTGTCTGTCTTACGTGTGTCAGGATGTATGTTTCTATTGTATGGATGGTTGTGTGTGTGTGTGTATATATCAGTGCGCCGTTAGCGAGCGCCTATTATTCATACAGTCTCTAAGGATATTTAGTGTATTGTTCTTTGTCAGTGTGCCTGTCTGTTGTATGTCTATGTCAGTACGTCTTGTGTGCGTGATGGTCACCAGCGCGCTGTGTATCCGTGCGTCTCTTGATTGACAGCGTCCACTCACGTATCTCGATCTCCCCCAATCCCGAGCCGCCTTTGTATCGCTCCTGTATACTGTCAGTGTACAATATATCTCTGTGCGTGTATACACACATGCAGGTATTGTCCCTGTGGTCTGTTTCTCCCCCTCGTCTCGATCTCCTCCTCCGCGTATTCTCTCCGCTGTGTTCTATAAATCACTCCCGTCTCCACCACGTGCACGCCGGTGTGTGTCTGTCCGTATTTGTGTGTCTCTCTCTCGCTCCGTCACGCTGTGTGTCTCCGTCTCTCTCTCTCTCCTGCTCCCTCCTCTCTCTCCCCCCGATCTCTTCCCGATCTCTTCCCCACTCCTCTCCCTTCGTCCGCGTGTCGCTCCCTCGTTCCGCCGCTGTGTGTCTCCGTCTCTCTCTCTCCTGCTCTCTCTCTCTCTCCGCTCTCTCCCCGATCTCTCTCCGCTCTCTTCCTCTCCCTTCGTCCGCGTGTCGCTCCCTCGCTCCGCCCGTGACGCACTCTCTGCACACACGCGCACTGTAGCTGGAACTGTAAGTCGGAATAATGATGCGAGGGAGCTCGTGATGATGGGGAGGGTGACGCACGCACGCACAAAGACAAAGATCCCCCGTGTAGCCTTCACAGAGTGGAGGGGCAAGTGCTGTTAGCGAGCACCTATGAAGGTCGGAACGGTGCACGATGGGGTGGGTGGTGGGTGACCAGCGCCACGCCCGACCGCCTTTGTCTCCCTAGTGGCGATGTTTACACAGCGCACAAGGTACTCATTTGAGGCTGAGTCGACCTAGGGGAGGCCCGGGACCGGTTCAGATAAACGTCACTGGTGTTGGCCGTGAGCGGGTATCGAATCCGTGTCGCCGGGTTCGTAGCGCAGCGCACTAACCGCTACACCACCGCTCCCCACTACGCACATACACACACACTCATATACACACATACGCACTCGGTTACATACACAATCACACACGCAGTTATACACACACAATTATACGCAATGACATACACACTCAACTACATACACACAATCCCATACACCGTTACATACACAATTACACACACACTCGGATACATACACAATCACATACACACTCAGTTACATACACACAATTACACACAATCGCATCCACACTAATTTACATACACGCAGCACACAATTGTACACGATAACATACACACACCGTTACATGCACGCACGCAATTACACACAATCACATACACCGTTACATACACAATTACACACACCTCGGATACATACACAATCACATACACACTCAGTTAAATACTGTTCACACACAATCATGCGCACACAAACACAATCACACACACAACCGCAGTTACGCCACATTTATACACACACACAAACAAAATTTACATCCGAAGACAATTAATTATATATTGTATAAACGACCACAAGTACATACACACAATAGTAAACACACACACACACACTCCAATTCAGTGCGGTATATCGAAGTCAGAGCAAGCCTCCCGTACATCACGTGACTTGTGTGGCCACGCCCACTCTGAACCCCTCCCTCCGCCCCCTACGAAAACAGACGCTGCTGCCTTCCCCCCCCCCGTGGAGCAGCGATGATGCTCTTAATGCAGCCTCTCCCTCCGCATCCTCATCTCTCCTGACCTTTGCTCCAGTGTCCTCCGTTCCCTTTTCCATCATGTTATTGTTTCCCCCACTCTTTTCTCTTTCTCTCCATGCACTATAACCTTGACTCTGCTCCTCTTCCCGCGGTGCTCCATGGGTAAATGTTAGCTAGTATACATAGTACACGCACAATGATGTACACGTGCGCAAGGTAATTCACACGCATACACGTATAGGGGTTATTACGGGAGAAACGGCGGACGAGAAACACAGGGGTGTCTGGACTCGCACACACGGGTGGCCACACCGACGTCCGCATCCGTTATCCCCCATGACCCCGCCCCTCTGAGGGGGTCTCTATAAAAGGCGGGGTGCCAGAGAGCTCGAGGCAGATCGACACGAAGCTGACCAGTGAAGACTGAAGACTCGGAGATTAGGCCCTGGGACTCCCCTGTCTCGCTGCCCTTGTCAGGGCCGAGCTGGGTAAGCCAGCGGCGCGGCCCAAGAGCTCCCGGACCTCTGCCCTTGTGAGGGCAAGGCCGGCTTAGCTGGTGCCGAGATTTGTGCTTACCAGGGCCAGATCAGACAGCATCCCGTAGCCCATTAGAGGAGGACTGGGGAACAGGACAGAGGGCTTAGTACTAGGGTGGGTTCCCCCATAGTACGGGTGAAGGGGCCGTTACCCCTTCAACTATTGTGTCTGTCCCTGAGTTAATAAAAAGAGTGTGCCTCAACTCCGACCTCGTCTCCTCGAACTCACTACACACGTACACAGTAAAGATATCCCCCGTATACACAAAGCAAAGGCAAATATCCCCCTATAGCCTTAACAGATTGTTGGGGCAAGTGCTGTTAGCGAGCACCTATGAAGGCCGGCACGACACACGAGGGGGTCGGTGGCCAACACCGCGCCCGGTCGCCTTTGTCTCCCTCGTGGCGATGTTTACACACCACACCAGATACTTATTTGAGGCTGACTCGACCTAACAGAGGCCCAGAACCGGTTCATATAATCGTCACTGGTGTTGGCTGTGAGCGGGCATCGAACTCGGGTGGTCAAGTTCGTAGTATAGCGCGTTAACAGCTACACTACCGCTCCCCATGGTAATAAACACGCATATACGTACACAGTAAAGATACCCCCCTATACCCAGTGCACACACATGCAATTATAAACAGTACCGTACATATAACACGTACACATACATAGTACACACGCACAAACACACAGAAAAACTCAACACATTCGTCAATATCATTGCCCTAAACGGGAACAAATGTAATAAGCGACGTTTCGGGCAACGACTTTTCGTCATAGCAGAGAAAGAGAGGCCAAAAAGTTCGAGTGGATAACATTTGGGAGACTGCATTCACTACCTGATATAAAAAAAAACACATTCCTGCGGAGGGTTGCTCGGTCAATGGCCAGGGTCAACGGCGGCGTGGTGTATTCCGCAAATATGCCCGACTGTGAGGGCGGGCACAAGCCGGCGTGAGTAGGTTAAACGTTGAGTTTTATAAGGGCACCATGGGGTGACCAGCCCCTCCCCACCCAGCCCCACCCCTCCCACCCCCCACCCAGCCCCTCCCTGCACGACGGACACAATAATCCCCTGTGGGCTGGTGTAACCAGGAGGTTCCTACCAGAACAAGTGAATTATTGAATTGGCACATCTGCCCAAACATGAGATATTAAGCAACGGACAACCCTTGAAAATACAAAAATGTACACATGCAGTAAATCTTATCACGTCTAAAATGACACGGGAGAAATACTGATTGGGGGTTCCAAAGCACAGTTGGTGTTATCGATGAGCCAGCCCCCCCGTGATCAGCAGAGATGAGAGGGCTCAATCACGAACCTTGAACTTCAATGAGAACGCCCTCCTCACACACACATACTCAAGGCTCCAGTCTCCGTTTGTTGATCATCACGGTGTATATTTTCAAAGTGTTTTTTTGTTTACCGAACATTGTTTGTTCAGCCTGCGTGGAGTCCTCTACTTACCGGCGATGTGACGGAAACGTGAGGATTCGGGATTTCGATTCGATTCAATGATCTAATGCAGTAGGTTCGTCGTCTTTGTCTCGTCTCGTTTGTATTGTTTCTTGTGTATTCTCTTCTACCTCTGCTCTGTGTATGAATGTTGTTCAGTGGGCCTCAAATGGTCAAATAAAACATAATTTGAAATAAGTATTTATGTTGAACTTATTTCGCACCTTACGTAGCCAAACGTGCTCATCGGAGATGCGGGGAAGGTCAACAAACTCAACACAAAAGCAACAGCTTAGTTAACAGCTTAGTTCGAGAGTAAGAAATGTCACACAAGCATACAGTATGATAATATGCTCACGAGGATGTATTTTCACCAGCCATTGGTTACTTGAGCCACGTTTTCAAGGGGCCACTTGATAAAAGTACATAACCCTACCGTGACACCACGGGCTTATTAGAAGATAATATTTCAGCTATGATGCCACCGATGTGTAGTGGCTATCAGACTGGACTTACAATCCAAAGTTCACCGGTTTCGACCTCCCGGCGCGGCAGATTAAATAGTGGGCACGTTTATGCCCCGGTCCAGCAAGCAGTATAAATGGAGTAAAGTGTGGGGACGCTCCGATCTTCCAAGACGCCTGGCCATCGTGGGTGAGTAGGTCAAAGTATCATCCAGATGGGCTCTCTAGAGCTCCCTGAAGTGGACGCCCTACTATCAAAAACAATTTTTTTTAGAATTGATTTTGTGTTTAGTTTGTTGTCCTTCTCCCGCGCCCCCGATTAGCACCGTTGGCTACGTACGGTGCAAAAGAAGTTGAACATACAGTACATACATCAGCAGTCGTATTAGCAAGCTAAACCCCTGTATTTGATATATGCTAGTGGGGAGTTTCACAAGAAATGCCAACATTTACCCCCCCCGCAAAAAAACCATCACGGAGTCTCAAGGCTGATTTTCAAGAGGGTTTTGTCACCTTGGGAAATTTAAACAATGCCATTGCCGAGAGTCTAGTTCGGCTCGAGACGAAACCGGGGTGCCTGGGAGAAAACCCCACCACGCATCCGAAGGGAGGGTGACGCTCAACGCTCCGCACAGGTGGATTCAATAGTACAGCTCCATCAGTACTGCCATATCTGGGCCACCTTAATGCCTACAACAACCTGGTAAGCCGAGATGGTCACCCATCCAAGCACTAGCTAGGCTGAGTTTTGCTTTGCTTTGATGCAGGCGGATTTTATTGTTGGTAGATGTTAGCGTTCTTACTGGTAGGAACCTCCTGGTTACACCAGCCCACAGGGGATTATTCTGTCCGTCCGTCGTGCAGGGAGGGGCTGGGTGGGGAGGGAGGGAGGGAGGGGCTGGGTGGGGAGGGGAGGGTGGGGAGGGGCTGGGTGGGGAGGGTGGGGCTGGGTGGGGAGGGGAGGGTGGGGAGGGGCTGGGTGGGGAGGGTGGGGAGGGGCTGGATGTGGAGGTTGGGGCTGGGTGGGGGGTGGGAGAGGTGGGGCTGGGTGGGGAGGGGCTGGTCACCCCGTGGTGCCCTTATAAAACTCAACGTTTAACTTACTCACGCCGGCTTGTGACCGCCCTCACAGTCGGGCATATTTGCGGAATCCACCACGCCGCCGTTGACCCTGGCCATTGGCCGAGCAACCCAACGTTTTTACCAGCTCCCTCCGCAGGAATGTGTTATAGCCACAATGTCGCGATTAATTCCACAATCGTTTACCATATTAACATTTAGGTAAATGTAGCGCCCTCTAGTGTCTGTCGGGCACATCTAAAACATAATTATATGCGACATATACAAGAACGAACAATCTAAACTTCGCATACAAGCGACTCGATGCCTGTAACCTGAGTTTAAAAACGGAA